TTTTGTAATCCGTTTGGAGAGTATTCAAGCTCTAGATTCGGAAATCAACTGAGTAATCTGGCGTACACATAATCGGAATGGAAAATCTTTTGATGAACAGGATGACGCCGAACAAACTCATTTTCACTCCGACCCTGAAAGCATTTTGCCGAGAAATTTTTAAACTCAATAATTTCCAAGCAGATGAGATTGTTCCACTTCCGTAAGGTTCTGAAGCCCAAGTTGTTTGAATACAAGAACTAACCTTGTACTATCGCGTAAAAAATCAGCGTTTTTCACCTTAGTTTAACTGTTTCAGTATAAATTGTAGGTTGATTTCATCAAAAAAAGAAACTAGCTGATAAAACTACAAACATATTCGGTTTAATCCATCAGTCCAAATCGTTACGCTTTAATGCTGGCAATGATTAGAATAAATAATGATCGGTGACAGAAAAGTTTCGTTTGTGTTTGGATAGCACGATGAGTAGTAGATATACGGTCAATGTGGTCTCGGGAGCTTTTCGCAACAATTTATTTACTTAAGTCATAACGTAAAATCCTGGTTTCGTCGTTGTTCCTTAAAATGCATCCATAGAACCTCCGGAATTTCAAAACTATTAGCTTCACCAGATCTGGGCAAATAAAGAGAGGCCATGCGGTTTGATCGTTCTGATCAATGCAACACGGCAGTCACATCTAAGCCCTAGTTATAACCAGACCGAAGACTGACACTTGTCATGAAATCCAACTTCTTGTTGGGAAGATATACGGTTATTTGCACACCAAAATGTCGATCAGCTGGGCTTTGGTTCCGTAAATGTGTGGGTCATATGCTAAAGTTCTTAAAAGATTTACCTGACTAGGAGGCGACTCTCGTTGTTTAGCACGGGCTGGAGGTTGAACCATCATTGTACCAACCACCAAAACGGATTACAATGGCTGCTATAAGGCAAATGTCACTATTTTTCTACGTGTACGAGAATTCTAAGATAATAATAGACCCTGTTGGTGTGTCTGCTGGGAACCAACGTGGTCTCATAGCGAAGTGAATTTTCGGCTTAATTCGTGCTTTGGAAATTTATACAAAATTGTCTGCATGGGAGTAAACAAGCATTGCTTCCATGCTTCTTCAACCTAGTAAATGCCAAGTCAGTAGGATTTAGAATAGGGGCTTTTGATTCTGAGTACTTAATTTAATGAACCTTTTGTGTTCCATCTGGTAAAATGTTACACTTAACTTAACTGTCGACTCATCAAATCCACACAACCGGAAAACCAAAGAACCGAGCTACCGATCTTCTACCATCCACTGCAAAACTCCGAATAAAAATAAAAACCATAGTGAACTTCTCTCCAGAAATGACCACACTGTGTTCATCGTTATCTCGTCTGCTATTCCAAACAACTCTTTACCGAACCGTAAGAAACCTATGGGGCGAAAGTTCAAAATGTTTAGCTAATAACAGGTAATCAAATGATGAATGAGAAACTTAACAAGCGCGCAAAAATTCGTGCTGTTTTTAACAGTACTTTCCAGGAGCATTCAACAGGCCAAAAACCGTTCTTGTGAACGATATAGCCTCAAAATATATTGAAGACTATTTGGCTGACTTGCGTACATCAGCAGAACCCTCTGCGAGCCATAAAACACCAAGATGGGAGAGGGGCGGGAGTGGAAGGCCGGTTTGCGGATCCCTTTAGACTCGGAGACCTCATGGTTCAGAAAACATACTGCATCTGCAGCTCACGATTTGAGAGACGGAATAGGTACCGCAAAATTTCGATGATGCAGCGATGAGTTCCCTATAAAAGGATAAAGAAAGACCATGCAGGTTGGACAGATACCAATAAATTAGTCTCCTGTTCATATAAGGTGAGATCGTGGCTTTCCGGAGGACGATGTTTCTGAGGAGTAACTTAAAGTTTGAGGTTGTCGGAACCTGATTGACCTTATTTTTACTAAAAATATTGGGAATTGTATCAACCACTCTGTGGACTGCTTGTAGACACCACCGAGGCCTTCAACTCATTCCACACTGAAGAACTGTCGATAGTCCTATGAAAAACAGACCGTTCAGGAAAAAACTGTTAACCTCAGCAAAGCAGTTCATACTGAGATTCAAGCCATTGCAGTGACCTGTACAGCTTCCACGATCAACTTCCTAATCAGCATGGAGGCTGACTTCTTGTCCCACCCCCTATTTATCAAGCATCCACCCAGAGGCTACTTGCGATTACAAAGGTTGTGCACCAGTTCAGTTCCGTTTCATTGCTGAAATACTGTGCTGCGCAAACCCAGTGTCCGTATGTCACTATCCTCAGTTGCCCGAGCCTTAATTACATGATTCATCCAGAGGCGGTATTGAAGCGAATGACTGTTGAGAGTCAGACCTTGTCACGACTGACGGAAAGCGCTTTCCAATTATAACGAATCTTACGCTATCATCGTAATAATAAACGGCATACGACTGAGGCACCGTAACCTTTCACTTGCGAACTGGCCTTATGTTCATTAATTGCCTTCTAATGCGTATCCACCAAAACCTTAATCACTTGTTCTCTTGAGTCCAATTTGTTCCTACCTCGTCCGCCTTGATTGTATTCCTCTCGGCGTGCGTCGATTGTCCGGAGGTCGTAATAACGACTTCCATTACTGTGTCTTACTCTTCTGTTGACCATACCATGGCCTCAACTACTATTTTGGCGTGTATCAATGAACCATTGTCTTGGCGTACTTATTACAACTGGGAATGCCAACACATCTGCGAAAAGTAAGTGATATGGCAAGCAACCCTATAACTGGTGTTAACATAAGTGCGCGTACGTTGCATTACGTGAGCAACTCAAGATCTTGGTACAACTCAGAAACATTTAAGTCACATTTTACTACAAGCCAATGCTTTATTGAAAAATGTTACGAAAACACTTTTGTGAATACAAGCTTACATTGGCAGTTCACGGATTGCATTGTGGCAGTGAAGTGTGGTTGCTATGTAAAGAAATCTGTCAGTGAGCTATTTAATAGTACAGACAATGTAACAGCTAATAATAATCCTAATATGCGCTGGAATATCCATCTTGTTGAAGCTTTTCTGATGATCATGCGCGAAATACAGATTTTGCGCAGCTCACACTGTGTGGTAAGCTTTATTAGCAAGAGTTTATGTGGAAACGACCTAGGTTTTACGCTCACTGGCTGCATCAATAGGATTTTTACCAGAGCTTTGAAAAATAGTCTATCCTAGGAATTAAGTCATCGCTCATTGTATAGTATCTTACTAGTCAATAGCCTGTGTAGAATAATTCGAAGTATTCGAGAAAACCCACTTGAGTGAAGCGCAAAATCACAAGCCAAAAATTGTGGATTCATGAGATTTATCAAAATATGCTTTACTATATTTATAAAATACGTAATAAAAGGAGCACGAACCTCAAATTATGGGGTTTCCCGTCTAAACTGTTGCACAAAGTAGTGCAAGTCCAAAGAAAGCCCAAAAAAGATGGTTAATTGATCTTAGTTTGCGACGCACGCCTGGGCACAACACGAGGTAACGCAAAGTGGTTGAAAAGCGCGGGTAAAAGATGGTCGGCCAAATCGGTTCGACAAGTCAAGGGTTAAAAGGTAATGAGGGATTACAAAAACACGTCGAGTTTATGAGGTAGACGCAGTAACCAGCAACGGACAAGGGAAGGGTTTGACCGGAAGGAAGGAAGTACAGCCTGTTTATTGCGAGTTACAAACTAGATAGACCAGAAGAAGAGTTAAAACATTATTCTCCTAGAATCAAGATGCAGACATGTTAGACACAATCTTTAAACTTCATGACTGCCTTCACAATCCGTCTTTCCTCAGTGTGCTAGTCGTACTGAAAGGATCATGATTAACCACAACCCGGTGAGACCGGATTCATTGGGAAATGATTTAAGTCCTACCCCTGGTAATGGGTTTTGCAGTGTAGTGATTCTGTAGCATTATATCAGGCTGACAAAGTAAGTTTGATAATATTCGCCTCAGCTTCATTCGTGCACCTCGGTTAGAACTTATGCCCCATGGAATCAGCACAATGCTGTGGCATTCAAATTGTTTGTCTGCCTCGATAGAATATCTTGCTTGGTACATCATGGGAAAAAGGAATCAAGTGCAGCTTCGAACTGATACATTCGCTTTCACATTTTGTTTTTAAGTATGATTTCATGGGTACGGGGATTTGTCTAAAATTAGTTCTTTTCAGTCGCGAATCAGACAGGTGCACCCCCTTAGCTGACTGAGCCCTGTTATGCTGTCCCGGACAAGTATACCCAAAGATTTCTTAAGTAGTATCGACCACCAATAACTACTAACATGTCTTCGGAAGCAAAGATTGAATTACCATTTGATACAAAAGCCTTAGAATGACAAAAAAGTGTTGACGCAAAGGCAGTGTTACGGAAAGCTGCGGTTTTGATGGCCCAAATTTCAAAACAGTCATTAAGCGTCTAGCAAAAATCCGCGTGATCATCAGTGAATAACGTTGGCAGTTAGTCAACTGGTGATTGAATGGACACGGACAGCATTCCTGACGCAGCGTCCGACGGAACATAACAGTGGAAAATTTTCGCTCCGAAAAAATCATTCTCTACGAGCATTAGGGAGTAAATAACTTGCTCCCAGTTCTTCACCATGCGTAACGAACACTTATGCATTTAAACGCGTGTCCTTTTCACCACACAAAATGGGCGGAGGAAGCAAAATTAATTGCACTGTAAAATCAAGTCTGGCTTCTTTTTATTTTTGCCGATGTAAAGAAACAACTTATTTCATACACGGAATAACAGGACAAGTGGTCAAATGGAATGCACCATAAATCACATCAAAATCTTGGTAGAAACGCCAATTGCTAAAAATAATATTCCCACGCATTTGCTTTCTTAATTCATGAAGATGGACAGACATATCACCAATCATATACGAGCTGGTGTTCTACTGACACATGCAACACTTGCGTGTCCCTCAAGAGCTTATGCATTTTCAGCAGACTTTTGACTAGTTTGCTATTTAGGAAAACGATGTTTCCCTGACGTTCAGATATTTATATATATGGACGGGACTGAGCTCGTTGACTTCCAAAAGAGTGCACACATTTTATATGGCTCTGCAAAAGGGGATATTTTTGAGAATTACCTGGCTCTTCACCATGTTTGGAGCCATTGGACTAGCAATCGTATCTTATGCTGAAATGAAAGCTCTACGGTGTAAGTGTGAAAGTTCTTGTCATGTATGTCAGCGAACAAGTTATTTGACCTCGTTAGTTGACGCAACTATTTCTGTTCCAATACTTTTGCAGCTTCAAAGGGAGAGTTTACTAGTCGACAAATCTGTCAGATTACATCAACAGCATTTGGAATATCGTTTAATCTAATCGCGTTCATTTTATATGTCATAATATGGATCCGAAAACTGGATGATAAGAAGGCTGTTGTTATCGCAACGTTTGCACTGGGCTGCTGTGGGTGTAAGTCGTGTTTTTATTTTGCTCATATATCGTTCACACGGTCAACAAATTTGATACTCTACATAATGTACAAACACGCGTAATGATCACATAAAACATTTTCTTTGCTAGCAGATCACAAAATAATCAGCTTTCTTGTACTTATTCCGTTTCTGCTCAGATTCCTGAGACCATACAACGGCTTTTGTTTGCTATAGCCGAGACTGTAACCATCAAAATCCGTAGTCTCAAACGTTGTTTAAAAAAGAGCCAGACTCAAACTCTCAAACACTCTTGGCGAATATCCTACAGTCTAACCAAAGCCAACCTGGAAACTCTTTTAGATCCCTGTCACATTTCAGACAAATGTGCAGACCCTGCAGTGTTCAACAGAATTCCGGTTTAGCATGTATTTTACAACCCCTGAAACCTGGCTGAAAGCTTCCGCTACACTGTATATTTCAGTTGGTGATAGTGATTCACATTCAGTAAAATGAAACTGTTTCTGTAAATATATAGACTCCACAATGGATTACCCAACTTCACCAAAACTTAGGACGGTGTAAAGGTTTAACGTCGAAGCCTTTGGTAAAAACCCAAAGGCATCCGCTATTTATTCGAAGAAGCAGGTCACCTGCGATGAAAATATCGGAGGTTACGCACAATTTATGACTTTGATCGGTTAGTTCAACTGTTTTTCAATGATAACACTCGCATACTCGTGACCTCATGAATGAATACTGGATCATACTATGGCCACATTATAAATTCAGCCCAATGACGGAAATGAAAGAGAAAATGGTTCGCCAAACTCTGGCGCTCTGAATGGTGTGGATCAAAGTGTCACAAAGCCTTTTCCGTGACGCAGAATGCTCAAAAGGTTAGTGTGTCAACGGAGACAGCGCTGGCTTCTGCATATCGTAGCCCAGTAAGTCCTTCTTCATGGAGCACGAAGAAGCACAATAATCACTCTGTATAATACTAGCAGGAATATTCTACTTCGCTATGTATTGCTTCCACCAATTCTTCTCATAGGTGCTAGCGCAGTAAGGTGACGAGACCAGACTGCGAACATAACCCTAGCATCGAAAGGGTAGTTGATGCGTACACACGGAGTACGCTTTTTTGTGACTATCCATTTTCTGGGGCAGTCAAAATGCTCGGCTATTCTAGCGAAGCAGTTAAAACTGGAGTGATCCAAGTCTTTGCGCGGAATACTTACCTATCTCCAGAAGCATACTTTTAGGCGGCTCCCCTTCTGCTGAATGTTGTGGATAGCATACAATAAAATACAGAATGTCAAACAAAAGTGGCTATTAACAACAGGGAAAAAGCAGTAGTTTGCCGTTACCTCAGCTTTGGTCGCGGTTTTCTGATGACATCTGCCTAATTCAAAGGAGCACGTGACTACCTACTCTTATGTCCACCCCACTTTTATAACAGGAATTGCGAACCACACAATTAGTTCTTTTTTGGTTTTCTATGCATCGGTAGGGTAGTAGTCAAAAGACCCATCCCAGAAAAAAGGCATTTTTAGCTAGATTTCTCATAAATTGTTAGTTCAAATGATATTTTCAATAACCTAATTCTTCTTAGCACCAATATAATAGGTGCGATTTTATGGATCCCTGTTTCTATTCTACTGGTCACCAGTGTCGAAGCAAAGTTGACCAATCTCTAATTTTCTTTCTGAAGCATTAATCATTTTCCTCTGGAATGCCTCGAAGACTAGAAAATCTTCAAGTACAAGGTTACCTCTTCTGGATATTTGAATGTAGAGCCATTTTACCAAAAGAGTGGCACGTCTACTTTGCCGTTATATTAGCTTTCTTCGTCTACGAATTTCAGCGTTTTTATAACAGGGCAAAACGTTTTACTGCCCCAGTTTTTTTAAGTCTAACTTTTTGGAAACAACCAGGGAACTTTTCAGTACAACCTAACGAGGAAAAGCCGGTCTTAAGACAGGACCAAGCAGACGAAATTCGACAAAAAAGAAATGGACCAGCGCAATTTTTAATGACAGCCGGCTCAAAGATCAACAGTCGGGTAAGCGTATAGGAGTTCACTGTTCTTACAGGCAACAAGAGACTCAAACGATCCATCAGGCTTAATGTGACTTGTTAAATTTTTACCTCCGCAAGCATAACTCAAATGTCATTCCACGAAGCATGCCACCGTTTGCCACGTTGCGAATGTCCAAAATTAGTGCTTTGGTTCACAGAACAAAAAATAAGAGGAAACAACCCTGAATTTTGCAACGGCAAAGGTATGGCAAAAATTACTTGAAAAGCTTAAATATCAGCTTCTAGTCACGTACGGCATGGAAATATTGAGGTTTTCTCTCCACGGACGGTATCATCAGAGATGGACTAGGCTCATTCATCCAAAGGAATGACAAGAAGTCCCAAAGTTTCTCATATTTCCGAATTGCAAAAGGCGTTTTTAGCACCAGACAGCCTTGAACTATTTGACAAAATATATTTAACCTTACGGAACCGACAAAATCATGCCAGAAACCACTGCTATTTACTACTGATGAAACAGATGCTCGGAACTACAGATAACATCCCACCTAAAAGCTGATACCACTTTTAAACGCAGGAGTAACGACAGACTTTCTGCTGGCTCTCTGTACCTTATGCCACAAAGGTGAGCAAAGCCATAAAATTGGATACAAACCAATGCCCTACTATACATTCGTGTGCAGTCAGTTACTTGCTTCTTATCTAAGTGCATTTACTATGCAATTATTAAATGGGTGTGAATTACAAACACTCAATCGCCTTGTTATTGTATGAACAAAACTTGAGATAGTTTTAGAGTCATTGTGCCAAAGAATCGGTCTGTTATTATATCGTCAGATAATACAAAGTCTTTTGGTCCCCCATGAAGTTCAATCCAAATTTGCTTGCTTCAGAATGGGTTTGCCTGTGATGACAGCACAAAAGCTCACTGCATCAATGCGACACTTGTCTAGAACTGTAAAAGAGGCATGAATATCCTTAGATCTCATGCACAGCATCTATGTTCAAACGGCCAAGATTCTGGTGGAAGGGACTTACACTGTTATCTCGGTGCAAAGACCATAATACTCACTACATTCGATAACCCTCGTTTTTCAGCACCCTTGCGAAGCATCCTCTTTTGTCCAAACTTTGTACTTACGTACTTGGAACTTGGACTATATCAAACTGCCCCTGTGTTTCATTGATTTTAATGAGATTTCAGCATCCAATGGGAGTGAAAAGCGGTTTATTCAGACATTAACCAGAATGGAAACCCGGATGTTCTTCTGGATATTATCGGTGTGCGATCCCCACTGTCGTCCTAGAACCAAATGTAAGAAAATCTACCTTTCCGCTTGAGGCAAGAATTTTCAAATCTCAATAAGGCGGCAGGCCACTGTAGCATGCATTTCATCTGAAGGGCGATGAAATATCAAGAAATATTCTCCTTGTTTGAAGCTTTTCTCTGGTGAGCAGCAAGATTCACCGAAAAGTTATTTTTTCAATCCTAGGAGTCCACATTGCGAACGAATTCCAGAGCCAGCCAGAGGAATCCTCTTTTTTGGTGACGTAGTATCCAGAGATAATCTTATTCCTGTTTTGCAAAATTCCGTTTTAGTAGCTGTAACATATTCTGTTGGCAGAAAACTGGTAAATCTGCCAGCGTGCATTCCCGTTCGTGGCAAGCGATTCCGGTGGCAGCATAAATCACGTCGAAGGATCCAACTAGATCCATCCTGAATAAAGTGGAGTGATTCGTATTTGTTAGTAATGATCTCACTGTGTGTGCCGCTTATCCGGCTTTGTGAGTTTCGCCTCAAGTCAGTCATTCCTTGGTAAAGTTGTCGAATAATAGGACCCATATGGTCTGCACCGAATTCACAAACAAAAAAATCGCAGTTTTGTGGTCTGGCGTCTTATCCTTGGTAAGTATTCAGTTTTCTTGTTGTGGAAATGCACCTGAACAACCGAAGCCTAAAGAGAGTATTACGAACGATCGACTCAAGTCAAATGCCGTTAACTCTAGATGCACAGATAAAGCCCCATTCATACCAGGCAATGGTATAGTATTCAGTGCATACATTCAAGCAAAAATTACAGGTATAGAGTTAAACCACTATATTCTGAACTACTATGCACCCGAAATATTGTATGAATGTTCGTGTACTTAACACGTACCCCTCGTCGTAGATCCCGGCTGATAGTTTGTTTCACTTATCTTGCAAAGGACTATGTTACGAACACGCCGCAAGTTTGTATCACATAACTTATCATCAAAGCCTTTTCTTAGCTTCATACGACCACAACAATTTTATCTCGAAAAGAATTTCGATAGACCTCTGGAAGAGGGGAAAAAAGAGGGGATTATTTGAAGCCTACTGTGGGTCCTAGAGCATGGTTATTCGGCCGCTATTTCGCGGTATTAAACGGAGCTAGACATTCAAGGAAATAGAAACATAATTTTTCTTTTGACCCAGGAGCTAACGGCATTCATGTAATAGATTAAGTCGACCGGATATATGTGAATTCAAACTGAGATTCTTTGGTCTCTTCTAAGAAATGGAGATGTTTCATTTGCTAATTAGAGTCTGCAGTAAGTCTTTAGTGTGTGTTTATTTTTCGCTTATCGATTAATATTCAACATACTAGCCTTGCAAGTTTTCGGTTTTTCAACGTAGAATGGCTTCAAATATACGGTGAAACCAATAAATATTTTCCTGAATCTCATTGCACTACCAGGAAAACCGTAGTCAGTGTTGTTAAATTTTGCTACCAAATGCGTGTGAGGCTAGTTGCCCGTACCTTTTCAGATGCGATACAAAATGCCTGCACGTAATAAGTGGATCTCTGTGGCGCAATAACAAACTGCAGTAGAATTAACTAATTGATGATGAAAGGAATTGTGGCATGATCATAACTTTCTGACCAAACTTTAACCCTGGGTGAGATGACGAGTGACGCTGAGCATTTAGCAGCAATTTGCTGCTCTTACAAACAACGAAGATAGGCGGCCACTGAAAAGTGACTATTTAAATCCTTCCTTGATTGGATAAGGTTTCTTAAGTACATTTACATTAGAACGTATCTCATTCTACCTGAATTCTGTGTAGACGCACACTCTTGTAGTCGTGTCCGATAGCTATTGCAGCAAACTCTGGGAGTGTTTTTTGCATTTCTGCAAAAAGTGCATTCGGTAATGACTAAATGAGCCCCAGGAAACCGCAAGGTTCACTAATATTGGAAGCAACAGAGGTAAGAATATTGACTGAATGGTATAAATAATCGAAAAAGAGATAAAAGCATGAAACAACTATATTAGGTTGCCGGTTTTTTGTCGTAAAAAATACTGATCATCAGCCCAAACTTGTTTTTCTAAATAATAAAATGATACAGTAGGCAATAATCTCCACGGACAAAGTACCATTAAAGAAGATAGCAGTATATGTGTAGAAGACGTCGACCTTCAACACTAAACAGTTGGAGTTGGAACATATTAAAATGAACTGTTGTTTGTGCAGCTGTTGGTTCACCATTTATCAAAATATTCTTGCTGGTTTAGCCCGGAACTTGGGGTACGTCTCCGTATTCGTCACTCGAAGGTAGTTTTCTAAAGCGTCAGAGTTACACTTGAGTCTTGTCTTTCTTATGATGACTGGACTTGCTGAATTTGGTTCCCGTATGTTCATCAGTTACATCCAGGTCAGTGGCACCGCATTTTCAGTCTTCTGTTTGTTAGACTTCTTTAAAAACTTTGCTTCATCATATGGTTCACTGTTGGTTGAATGACAGAATGACTAACAAAACCAGGGTCGGAAGTGCGACGCTCAACTTTCGGAACATCATGGGTGATCTTCATTGCAGCCCGACCAGTCGACACTGACTAATTAAGCTACGTGAGTCGAATGGATAGGATGCTCGCGTGATGGAAATTCCCGGTCGTTGTCTAGTTAGCAGAACTGATTTGGACGTGCGTGGAGTGGGCTGTCTGAGGTCATTTCCAGGCTACGTTTCGGCCTGATAGATAGGCGCTGTGTGGCGTTCCAAATTAAGTGACTCTATAATAAAAGTTCCCAATGAATTTCGAGTACAGTGATTGGGAGCAAAGCTTCCAATTAAGTCTTATTCAGTAAATGCTCTTATATGTAAGTTGGTTGACGAGTGAAACTGTATTACGTAAGACGCTATACATTACCCCTATAAAGGCGGCACGTGACTGAACAAACTAAGCTACTGCTTTCACATTACTACCTTGAAGACAGATTGATTACGCAACATGAGTTAAATTGTCCCTGCTGATTCAAGCTTGCTTTTCTACGTCTAGAAAGTCTCACGGCATCTTTATAATGCTAGTCTATTCACAACATGAGGAAACCATCGATTAAAGATAGCTCGCAATAATCGAATCTTTGGGGCATGAGACTAGGTTGACATAGAAGGGACTTAGCAGGAAGTTTAAGCTAAGAAGGATTCAAAACGTATATCTATATATCAAAATCATTCTCTGTGAGCAACTCTGTAGACAGCAGCAGCTCTACTGGAAAATTCTACCCGGCTATTATGATTCTGATATTTAAAATGAATGGATTTCATTGATGCTGGATAGAACTAAGCCAAGTTAGCCGAAGCGTTATAACCCTGTTATTCATCAACTGTTTGTGGCAAGGATGTCCTTGGTGGGGTGTAACTAGCTAAATTCTAATTAACACAGTAGGGCAATCCCAGCTTTTTTCAACACAGCTATAATGCGGCATCAGTGAGCCCAGTGGTTGAGTACCTTCCTTAAAGCCTGGGGAGGATCGTAACCGGATGATTCAAATAATGATCCACAACTAGGGGAAGCGGTTTCGTGGGCTGAATGCATAGCATAGAGATTACCCCCCAAAATAAGATTATTCATTGTAATTTTCTTACCATAATAATGATGAAGAGGTTGTCAATTAAAATTGATTTGGTTCGTCCTGCGAAATAACCAAAATTGGCCACCCTAAATACAATATGACAAAATATATGTGCAGTGGAATCAGGAAAAAGATCTGATTGGCAGGTGGAGCTCCAGCACAACACTACTATCGGTATTTAATAGGTACATAATTAAGGAGTTTGGTACGCCACCCAGTCCAGCTTACGTACATTAAACACCGCAGTCAAGCTGATCCAGAAAATAGCAATGTTGTATGACTGTGTTTGGACTGAGCTCTATTCTCGTATGCCTTTGTACAACAAGATAAATCATGAGTGATCGTCTTACTGGTAAAATTTGCCTCGCAAAAGACAAGACAACAGGCACCACAGAATCTAGAATTTAGAGAATGCTTGGCATTTTTACATCTAGTTGCACTTTATTTATGATGCACTTGAAGTTTCTCTTCAGATACGTCTGGTAGAATATAAAATCTCGACATGCTTTGACGTTACTGTGTCCCTAATTTTCGGAGTTCTCGTGCTCCGAATACGAAACACACTGACACCTGCATTTTCCAACGCTAAGTAGAGTGAATTTCCGCCGATAAGTATCCTATCAATAAGAATTATTTTCCTATTTCTCCTTTTCAATGTTAGTCCACAACAGTAGTAGGTTTACAGCAATGTCACGAAATGCTATGGAAAGATGTATCCCCGCGGTATTTACAAGTTGTCTCACAAGGATAACCTTGAGACAGAATCGGAATCTATCAGTAGGTTTGATTCATCCAGAAATGCTCACCTATTACTATGGTGCGCAGTTTCACTTTGCTTTTAATTCACTGTATGTTTGTTTTTGTTCCTGTTTGTTTTCACAGTGATTTCCTACTGTATTGGAGCCGGTTGTCGGTTTGGTTCCGCCCCTGATGATGGAGTGTTCCTTTTCTCAGCTTTGTGGATTGCCGTGGGAGTAGTAGGCGTCGGACAAAACTTTTTGTTCATTAATCCTGTCGAGCTTGCTTGATGGGGACTTCTTTATCTAAAATAATTTGGATTACTAAATTTTATTCTCCTGTAAGCGCTCTTTATTCAACGTGACTAGCACTCAAACGTTACCACATCAGTCCGCCCAACAGTCAAGTTATCAGTAACCTTGGTTCAAAGAGCACTGAAGTCTTAACGTTGAAAAACCTTTTTGCGTTTCAATAGGGTAGTCAAAGCTGTGGAGTATCCGCCGCTTCAAAAGTGACCGTACTGGACTGGGTTGCAACATAGATTTTGTTATGATTGCTCTTACCTAACTAAACTGCTGATGGCCACATACCGGAGATTCAGAACCAAAGCAGTGGATGTAAGGTTCGTTGACTTCAGTATTGCTGTGAGAAAATTTTCAGAAATTTAACTGAAATGAGTGGACACGGAACCTCCAGTGGTCATAAACGTCAGAACTCGGATTTTCCGTTTGTAAGACAAGTTTCATAAAGAGTCAAAGGGCGTATGTCATCACAAAGAGATGCTCCCATCAGCGTTCTGCATGGATGTATACTCTTCCCCTAACTGTCCGAACCTCCAATAATGATCTGCCCACAAACATCCGCTTCCCTGCCGAGAATCTGTGGATGATATCAAGGCGAGGGATGAGTCACAGTGGCGTTAAACCCAACATTTCTAAGGGTTACTGGGAAGTCTCATGAGATAGTCAAAACTTAGCCTGCCCAAAAAAGCGGACGAATGCGTGTATCGGCATAGTAGAAAAAAGCTGACGTCAACGCCTTTCTACTAGCCTAGAAGCCAGTAATTTCGTCTCACTGCGTACAGTACTCTTAAGTTATTCTGCTGATTATCCTCAAGAAAACATTCTGTCAGCCAAGTGTGCGGTAGCCCGCTTATGGGGATCTTTCAATAAACACAAGCCAGGGGCTTTTTATCTCCTCTATGGCACAAACGTGCACCCTTCTGTGGACCATTGCGGACTGGCAAGATTTGGTCGTTATGTGTAATCATAGGCATAATAGTAGTACTAAGTACCTCTGTTCGCTGAGCTGGTCAAATTTTCGCCCCAAATTACGCAGCTAAGCAAACAGATCAGCATCTGTCTATTCAGTCTTCCGGAGATAACCGATAACTAGGGTTTCAGAGTTGATTAAAGCTTATTTTGGTGGCTTCAGCTACATTTAGTCTACTATAACTTGTCGGTACTCCGAACGAAACACTATATAACCCAGGGCATCTCTAAGATATGTATATTCACGCTCATAGGTTCGTGGCATCCATCCAACTATATCTCACGAACTCATAGATATCTTGCAGAATTTAGGCCATTTGTACTCCTAAGGGTACACTAATGTCGCATCAAGTTCAACTAAATTCGGTGGAATGACTTGATGCTGATTTCGTCGCGCACAAAATTTTAGTTGTGCGAAACATTTGTCAGAGGGCCTACCAAAAATGGACAAATAAATGCGTCCAAGATGCAAGAATCAGTATGACGATTGCGAGCCGGATGTAGTACCACCCAAAATGACCCTGGCCATACATAGAGAAAAGAATTACGATAGGTTGCACTACGGAACGCAGATTCAGACTATGGTATGGACGGAGAATTGCACTTTGAAGTGAGTATGTTTGGTTACGGAGCCAATAAAAAAAGTTTCTTCCTGAATTTAATGGTCTCCACATAAGTGATTGAATGACCTGTCGCCAAGCGATGATAAAAACCGTCCCATTGTGAGGAGACCTACCGGGGTACTATGGAATATTGTACATAAATGTTTAAGTGTTCATTTTCATATTTATGATGAGGACTGTGAAGCTTCGGGATGTTTCTTACAATAGTCTACCTAGAATCTTTTCAGCACGATAGACTGTTGCATTTAAGGGCAATCCTGAGAACATTTTGCGTGATAGTTCACTGTAGTTCGGTATTACGAATATGCTTAGAAATACTACCATTGGAATGGATCCAAACATCCCCTCCACATTCAGATGAAACAAAGGAGCCAGGAGGCGGCACACTAGACACGTGACTAAAAGAGGAGGCAAGCTGCTGCAAAAAAACCTTGGTAGGCGGCCAGTCTCATTCGGCTTTTAGTGAATTTTTGTATTCTATATACAGACTCGCAAAAAGCTATAATATATATGTATATTGATTGTGAATCACTCGCAGTGACATGAAAGTTGGCTGCGATTTCTCGTATCTTACGATTATCCTAGAGACCGTCTCTGAGCTAATTTCCAAAATACGGGAAATGAGGAACACTATGCCACATCCATCTGCTAATGCATCAGTGACCAACCCTAAGTCATTCTGCTTTTTGCTTTTCCATCGTTCCCTCTGACTGACTTAAACGGTGAAATTCATATGGCGAAGACACTGTGGTAAACAAGGTGAAGCTCCCTAAACTAAAAAAGTAAAAGTGTCAGAAGTGTTCAGATTGCTGCTGAAATGTAACGATATGCATTAGGTGTAGTAGTTATACAACTTCAATTGACCGTGAATAGTTGCACAGATTGTAGTGAACCAGTGCTCACAAATTAACAAGAACTACAACATAAAGCCCTCAAAAAGTAAACTTTTAAATCGTAATTGCTATATTCCGGGTTCGTGGACTCAACTTTGCTAACGTATCAAATCCAGTGCAGGGGGAACGATGAATATTATTTTCGAGTTTAGAAATGTGGACGGATTTAAATTTTCTTACGTTGCATTTGTTTGCCATGCTTCTGCGGTTTAGTTAGATAGGTGAAGTTTAGTTAGGCAACATGAAGAAAAAATTGCGCAAGTATTTGGTTTAGAAGAAATTCCCAAAGCACGTGGTTGAAGAGCTTTGTTTAGTCCGATGGCTGTCTATTTGTCAAGGTCACACCTTCAGCCTTCAGCAATGTAATAAAATAAAGTAAAAAGTCAGACATATGTTCATGTTTACGTGAGAAATTCAAGACCGTTCGCATCTGCGTTCTAACAATGAGCGGTTTGTGTGCATTCATTTGACGAACGCTATAACTTTGAGTGAACCATTTAGGTCAAGATGGTATAGGCACAAAAACCCACGCAGGAAACGTGACGTGTGTGATACATTCCTTCACTGTCACCCATGCAGCCTCGTTGATCAAACAGACCGGCGTCCATTGGCTTTTTATTCGCAAATTTTACTCAGCTGATTTATCTCGGAAACAAAGTAAGAGACAGGCCCATGAAAAAGGACGGTCTTACATTAGAAGCCTTTCAGATGCAGCTTCATTAATCTGCCTGTTTTGTTGTCAAGTCTCGAAAATTATAACTGACTGGATGGTTATGGGTTTCCTTCAACTAAACGCTCGATAAATTGAGTATGGGCAAGTCAGTGATGTTCTTAGCTTTCCCTATCTTTTCTCTAACCTGAATTTTGTCAATCTACTTTGAGCGCACCCAAATTCTTTGGACGTTTTGGCATGCATTTTTTCATACTGCTTATTATGAAGAAATCATTTGAATATTTCTTCCCTAATTTCACTAGATGTCTTTTGGAACACTGAACGGCAGCTCATAAAAATGTGACAGTATTCAGGGACAACGTAAATTTTTCGAAATATCCTTATTTTTAAAATGTCGATGTTTATTTGCCGTAATGCCGTATCTGGATACGGTGGCGCTCTATAATTAAAAAGCTACATCAAGATAAGCTAATGTGTACATGTGTACATTTGGGCATGGAAGAACACACGGATTCTGGTCTTTAGAAAGCTTACATAAACATCATTGTAAGTTTTAACAGTATATTTTTTTGCAGAGCGATATAATCCCTATTGATCCTAACTTCCAGAATTTATTCCAATTAATGATAATGAAGTATACTCTGTATGCGTGAGATTTTGGAGCATCATGTTGGTTTAAGATACTGACCCTGAATTTCTTTCGTACAGCTGCGATTGCACACTTACGATGCCAGACCTAGTGTTTGGTTTGATAACGACAATATCGGAAATGTTTCTCGATATCCCATGTTTTGTGTAAGGAGCGAGCGATTGCATAATAATTTACATGGTAGATGCTGAAAACAAAGGTTTATCAAATCAGATGCACGCTTGTTATGTGCTATGTCGGATTTCGTAAGATAAATCCCTATCGGGAGAAATGATGTAGCTGTGTTTCAATTCTAACCATGATATAGGTCAGGACAACACTCGATACTAAGTGTAATCTCAGCAATTAGGCATTATAACTGAATATTACTGTACACATTTTTTGTTCGTGCCATTTAGAAAGTTGTATTCTACCAGTTAGCCAGCCAGAGGCATCGGTGGTTGCCTTATTCTCTTGTGTGTACAGGAATCACATTTTTTGATCTATTTCATGATCTTCTTCACTTAACTCAACCTTACGTTCATCCAGAACAGCTCATTCAATGGTAACGAATTCTTGTGCCATACCCACTCAATTGGGTATCATGACGTCTCAGTTTCGCTTAGTGCCGATCGACCCGGCGGGAGTGAATAAACACGTGTGACTTGATAGGATAATAACTCTATCCCACGGACGGATAATGATAAGGTTCCATGCTATCGAGAATGAAATCCTTTCAGGGATCTGCTTCAGTGTGTGTGGCAAAGTATATACACAAGTGACCATCAATGATTTGCTGAACGTACCACCCTGATGCTTACTTGGTTACTCGTAATTTTGACCACGAAATCACTCGATTGGTCTCATTGGACAATACTGATGCCTCACTTATGTAATATCGCCAATCTGAAATTTTTTAGGAAATGAAGGAATCATGAGAAAGGGTAGTCGTTAACCTTCTATTAGGTTGGAACTGATTGGTAGAAAAAACACATTTCGGTATATGTTGGAAACTGCATTTGCTCATGTGTACTTTTGCCCCAAATTCTTTAGTTTCCAAACTAATAGTTGCTGCAATTTGTTAACATACAGCCTCACTGTACTCCCTAAGTGTTGGTCAACCATTTTCCATTGACACATTGTTGTCCCTTTTATTTTCTCTTCATTATAGTGA